ATTATGATATAGCATTGTTCTGATCGAGCTATATCCAACGTAATCGAACATAAATGTCAAAAGACGATAGGAATTAAAAGTAGTCTTTCTCATATTGTTGTCATTACATGATACTAATATTGGTGTTACTGTACGACTTTATAAGTTGACACACTTCTGACAATCCATCATTTAACTTTCACTTTAACACTAACTACTAAAATCTATCTCATTTCGTGATATTCATAAGAAAAAACTAAAACTATAATTTTCACTACCAAGATACATATATAGACGACGATTTTTCAACATTAATTTTTTCAAGTAGTCTGTTTATTTACTAATTTATCGGTAATGATGGTGGTTTTATGTATAAAAACTACCATAACTCGAAGTTGAGTACCCTATTATAGAATATTTAAATAATATTCAAACAAACATGCGTGCATAGTTTTGATATTATCAATAATTGTATTTATGAGATAAACTACTATTTACATACACAAACATTCAGTCGAGGGTCAAGCGAGTCGTAGCGACGAGCGTTACTTGTTCTTTCTTGTCTTTCATATGTGACATTGAGTTCGTTGGTCTAAATCATTTATGAGAACATAACTCTTGGATCTATCTTTGGAATACGCTGCAAATAAAATAAACTAAATAATTTCATAACATTGCATTCCACATGAAAAAATATTTTTTAATCGTGTAAAAGTATCTCCTGAATCCGTATTCAATGTAAATCGTATTGAAAATGACACATCTATTCGAATCACTATGCTGAATGAAATAGAAAAAAAATGTTTTTCGATAATAATTATACTATCGATGTGAACAATTTTGTGATAAATCGATTTTCTTGATAAGTAAATGCTTTTCAAGCGAGTTTTACAATAAATTCATTGAGTTAATTGCTATCATTCTAAGATGATCGTATGGTATACATATCATGTAATATTGCTTAGAAGAGCAAAATCATTATATAAATAATGTAGAGAAATCGAACAAGATCAAAAAGCAATTTTGTTATATAATAAAAGTCAAATCAATTCTATCTTTTTATTTTTATTTTTTTGATAAAACTCAATTATATGTAAGCATGAGCATTAAGAGCTTGTTGAAAATATTTATTAGAAAATTTTAAATAAGCAACAATCGATAAAAAAAGATCAAAAAGAAACAGTATTCATCAAAGAAAAATCAATCGTAGATTACACCACAATTAAATGAAATTTATCAATTTATTTCTTACGTTGAATTTAACCGAAAAAAACAAAACTTTTTTTGTTTTAAATTTTATCTCGTGATTTAGAACACACACATAAATTATTTGAATTAAATGAAAGACTCCAATGAATCTTAATCATTACATATCCAATCGGTTCTGCTTTTTCAATTTGTCTTGGTTTACATTTATATGGATCAGATTTGTCCGTATAGCCTCGCTTGATGTCGGACAGATATCTGCTAGGTAGAGGACTAAAAGTTCGAAACTTTAGTTTGATCTGACCCGTCCATAATAATATTGGACCTGGTTAACAAGTTCATTTAAATCCAAAAAAAAGCTAGTTGAACCAAATGTCAATTTAATATTGTAGAAGATTCACATTCACTGAAAAATGAATCTTTTTTTTTTAATAGACAACAATGAGTAATAAATATTGCGTTCTTGGTGTTGTGAAAATTGATTGTCAAATGTGAATGTCATTGCCTATTATTATCAATATCTCTCATTCTCTACATTTTCGCTATACGCCCAATCATACGTTATTTTTGCCATCATGCTTGAATTTTTTCGATTTTGCGAAACAAAACTGATATGATCAAAAACATTGTGTTTATACAAGTCATTTTAGTATCAAAACTTTTTTGCCGATTGTCTTTTTTATTTTAATTGCTACTTCCATGCAAAAACTTCTGATCATCTATAGTATCTAGGATCTAACTTTTTGGTTATATCGGCTTGTCCATGTAACACAACACTTAACTGATCAAGTTTTCGAAACTTTTTTTTTCTAGTTACACAGATCTGAATGTATTATTAAGTGCTGTTTTTCATGCTAATTACCAATTTGACATTATACTAAGAAGATTTTTCAAACAATGCTGAGTTATATACCATTCGATGCAGAATTTAATTCTCTACAAACTGATCTATTAGTTTTTGACTTTGGTCGCTTAGAACAACTTGAGAATTCTTTTACAAATTGTCATACTTACTGTATAGTTAATGAGTTCCTGTTTAGATGTAGTAACTTGATTCTTGTGTAGAGTGATTAGATATACAGAAAAGACCAACATTACTGAGTATGTCAAGTGCTGTAGAATTGGACTAGAGAAAATTATAGTTTACTATGATCTAAGTAATTGTTTCACTTGGTAATCAGAAGATTCTTTATTTCACGTAGATGTATTGTGATTGAAATTTGTTACCTATTTCAGAATAACTTAGTGAATTCAATGAAAGATTCTATGAAGAAACGAATAATTTTGAGCACAAATAATTTAGATATTATTTACTGATGTTTGTCGTTACTGATTTTCAGAAAACGTTTCTTGTTCTATCTGATTTCCATTCGATAATTTATATCAGATTCCTACTTCTCTTGAATTGGTTTGAAATAAAGTAAGCATATTTTTTTGATCATTCAATATTTTCTGTAAACCCATCAAACGAAAGATTTATTTGAAAGAAATAAAGAAAAATATTTCTTTAGTTAAATGTAGAACTCACGCATTGTGACATTCAGTTCGTACATACTCAAAAAATAATCACATTTTGTCGATCGTTTCAGTAAGTTAGTGTCTATAATTCAAAAAGATGAAAATAGCGTGGGTTTGAGGTGCGCCGTCAGTTTTGATGTAAGCTAACGGTATTCTTTTCACCTAGACTCGCAATCACACCCAGAGACCCATATCCTTACATTTCGGTTGACAAGTAGTTGAGTCCATTTATTCATATGTAACTCGTTTTCATAATTAAGAAATCAATTAGAAACATACGATGATCGTCCTACAGTGTATTCAAAACAAATTAACAATTACTCATAGGAAAGAAAGTTGTTTACAGACATCTTCTCTTCGAAAAAAGTCATTTCATAATTGAAATGTCTCATCTGATAACTATAAATTCTAAACTATAGATTCTAAACACATGTATTAAATTGTTACTGTTCTTCGCAACACTGTTTGTGAGTTTTGTTATTATGGTGCTTGCAGAAAAGATAGATTTGGATAGAAGTTCATCAAGCACTCAGAACACGGAAAACAGATAATTTAGATTTGAAATCTGAAGAAATCAACGAATATCATCCATTTTTCTCGCTTTCATTATATCAGCAGAAGCTCGATTTTATATGAAACCATTGACAAGATTTCTCATTTACAAATACAGTGACTTCATCTTCTTTCATCTGTCAATCCTGTACGAATAGTATTGCAAGTTTTTTATTTTATAAAAACAACAAAAAAAAATCTAGAACAAAATGATCTTCGTAACATTTAATTTGCGTTTATTGTTCATGGTTAATGCTTTACAAATTCTGTCGTTCCTTTTTTCCTTTATACAATGCCCATAGTGAAATATTGGCTACTTTGACGATTTTGAAGTGTACACCAGGAATATCACCGACAGCACGACCTTTACGACCTAAACCAGCCACCAGAACTTCATCGTTTTCCTATGAATAACAAAACAGATATTTATTTGTACTTAAAACATCTATCACATACATTAATGAAATTGAAGCAACCATCTCGTGGTACAAAAGCTGTGATTATTTGGCCATTTTTGATTAATTGAACTCGAAAACATTTACGTATAGCAGAATTAGGCTGTTTGGCTTCAATACCACTGAAATGTCAAAGATCAATTTTTACTCTAGTTATCGCACATATACACGAACATACATTCTTGAGATCACAATACCCTTAGCATGCGAAGCACCATCCAATGGATCACTCTTACAGCCTGAGCTCAAATGAGATTTCTTGTATTCTTTATCATGCCAACGTTGTTCGCGACGATGATTATTTAATTTACGAGCCGTACGAAGACCACATGGTTTACCTACAAATAACTAGTCATAAAAACATGATACGAAAATAAAAATCGATTAGTTTACCCATTTTATTGCGATGCAGACAAGATATCAGTTGCTATCTGAAAAAAAAAGACTAGCATAATTGATGTGAATAGCAATGTATGAACAACTTTCGAAACTTCCAAAGAAAAAAAAAGCTTTCATTGCACTGAATGATAATCAAATAACCACTGGCAATCGAATGCCTCTTGAATTCATGATTTTTACATACCAATTAGTATCGAATTGACGCGATGAAAAGATGTAATAAGAAAAAAAACGTCAAAAAAATATTCCTACAAAATATCGTAAAGCAAAATCTGTATCTTAAATAAGAGAATTTCTATAAGATTGATCAGTGTCGTTGTTCAGTAATTGCAGGTAGTTATTTAAGTGATGTGCATGACCTAGAATCATGTTTTAAAGTTAGTATAGAATTGTGTAAATAACGCTTGTTTTTTCATGTATATATTTTTCATTTGGTTTTGAAATTCTCTCCATTTTTCAGTTGGCCTTATAATCATTATTGGTAGAGTATCACAACATGACTCTATAGTAGTTCCATGAACTATGAGACATTCAATTCGTTGTTATATAGAAATAAATGACGCTAATTTCGTCAAATTTACGCAATAACGGGCACTTAACCAAGCATGTCCACTGTTCCTTTATGACATTCACATGTCAGGAAAAAATAGCGTCGATTCCTTTTGTTATTAATTTCTTTTTCGTGTGATTAAGAAGATGGTAAATTTTAATTTTTATATTATCAAATAAAAGGATAGAGAATGTAAACGACAAAGCGAATTATAAAACATTTAATTTATATTTCTCATACGGATATATTTTATTAACTAATGAAGAAATTACAAAAAATGTTTCTCCTTCTAATTCCATTAATTATTTTGCAGTAATATATACAATTTGACGATTAATAAAATAAAATATTAGTTGACTTCAAGAATACAATATCACAATGCCATTTATTGTTGAAACATACCATTATGGATATAAAAAAAAAAGTTCATTGAGAAAAAACACCGTCATTATGACGTAGTATGTAAATATGATTTTTTTTTTCGAGTTTAAACGAATTTTGACATCTTTTTATTCGAACAGATTGACAAAGCAAAATAAGTTTACATGTCTACTAAAATAAGATCATAGAAATAAACGTATTTCAAAATTTTTTCAAAACTTCATAATTGAAGTTCTTTGTGTTGTTTCTCTTGTAAGTAGAAAACATGTTTGCTAAATCCAAATTTTAAAAAATCAGAACACTTTTCCAATAAAATTCGGTATAAAACATGACCTCAAATAGATAGATGTTCATAAATCTATCTATTACGATTGTAATACAATACCCGATCCATGGTTCTGGCCATTAGAAAAGTTTTTAAAAAAAGAAAGACTAGTCAGAAGAACGTTGAAAACTACAGAACCGACCAATATTATGGTTCTTTTTGGAATGTTTCTTGCTTCCAATTCAGAATGATTTTAGCTAGATGAATGTTGTTTTTTTTCCATCAGTAACGATCAAAATACATTACAATAATAACAGAATCGAGTGAGCGTGAAGTATGTCATATATTTGGTGTCCTAACTATGCTATAGCAGAATAATCATTGAAGGACACTCAAGATTTATTTTTTCAAGACTCTATAATCCAATGTATTTTATTATACTGATATTCTCATATTTGATCGTTTACTGATCAAAATAAAAGTAAGTATAAATATTTTATAAGAATATGATCGAAACTAATAAAAATCAAATCAAAAATGGAAAATAAAGTATCAAGAACTTTATTGTTGTAATGTTGGCAACACGACTAAATGTTTGTTGAGAAAAATTCGCTTTGATGATACTTGATCATTTAAGAAGTAATTGTAAAATTGAGTAGAACTCAAATAACCAATTATACAAATTTTTCTTTCGAAACGAATAGAGTGAGTTCTGATTTGATAAAGATTTAATATAATGAAAATTTGGCTTGCAATAAACATTTAAAACAAGTAGAGCACAGAATATTGGAATTCATTTTTATGAATTAAACGTATTTATACTGTTAAGAAGATGAGCTGAAAGATTACGGCCTCTAACTATAATCGTTATTTGTTTCTTATATGCTTTTTTTTTTGTTGATTCATATTTTTAATTCTAAAATCGAAACTGTCATAGACTTAAAAAAAACGAAAAATTCTATTAAAATCCTAGTATTATTTTCATAAAAATATTTGTGTTCATTAATGAAATTAAAATATATTACAAATAATATCTGTTTCATCAATTTTAATGACATTTTTTGTTCTTTTTTTAGTTTCTAAGTTTTTAAATTCTTCCGAAAAAATAAAATACCGATAGAACACACTTTTTATTTAATGAAGAGATATATTACAGTGTGATGTCGCATGTAGCCATGTCCACTATATATATATATTATCCTCTATCTTATTCGTTTTATTTCTCTTTTTTCTCGCTCTCTTTATCTAGATATGCAATATTTGTAGTCTTAGTTTTTGTTCATTTCTTCTGAAGCGACGACCGTATGCAAGTACATCTCATACACACGCACACACATATATAATATAATATATACACGAGAGAAGGAAAAGAGAAACCATAACACCGCTAAAGAACAGAAGGGGAGACAAAGAAAAAAAAAAAGAAAACGAGTAAGACTGACACAAGGGTGGGGTACAGCGCGTATTTTATTTTGCATCGAATGATGCATTTGAAGAGAGTAAAGAAAAGGTAATGGACGCATACGTTTTTTTTTTCTTTATTCTTTTGCATAGTAACTCCATGTGTCTTCATATAATGCACTTTAAATAACTGTTTTCATTTACGCGGAAAAATTCTGATATGTATATGGAGAGTGACGTCTATTTTTTTTGACTCATGGAAATTGGCTTTTACTAATTTCCATATGAAAGATGGCGTAATATCGGGTGAAGCAATTGTGAATTAGAAAATATTTATTTCGATATGATTTCAACGTGTAAGTTTTTATGACATTTCTCATTGTAAATAAGGCCAAAATACAAAAAGCCTACGAATATTTTATAAATTCTTCATGTATTTATTATTTTTACAATTGTAGAAGGAATTATAAAAATACATAAGAAGACTTTTAAAGGTTTATGACACGATTACGTTTATATAGTTTTTATCTTTTTATTTTTGAATATTTAAAAATATTTTTGGATATGTGTGTGTGTGTCAAATTGCATAGAAAAAAACGTCACAGATATCCATTGAATTGCTTATATTTACATTTATTATTTAATCTTCATGCTGTTTTATTTGAAACATTCTTTACTATTCATTTTATTGAATAAATGATGAAAAACAAATGCAAGAATAATTATTATTTCAAAAAAAAGATGATAGAAAATTTTATATATGAAGAAATTGATAATAATTAATAATTATTTTTATTCTTTTTAGATAATGCATATTTATAATGAATTTAAATCAACATTTATTGTTATATTTTTTCTTGGTTATATATTTTTGGTTAGTGGTCTAATTATTAATTTTTTTCAATTATGTTCCTGTATTATATGGCCATTTAATAAGCCACTATTTCGAAAGATCAATTGTTATTTAGCATTAGGTATTTGGAGTCGTAAGTAATTATTATTATTATTTCACAAGTTTCGAAAAATATCCATATGTTATGAATGGTATAAGTCTTAAAGCATAAGCTTGACGAGATTACATAGCTATTTTTGAATTTTAGAATCTATCGTAAGAAGTCGTAGTATAAAAATTATCATGATTAACATTATTAAGTTTTCATGAAATATATCATGCTTGTCTTTATCTATTTTCGTTCTAAAAATCTTATATAAAACATAATTATTACAAAATTAATTGTTTATATTAATAGAACTTACTTTTATGGCTCAATGGTGGTCAAAAAGTGATTTTGTTTTGTATATAAATTCAGATGATCTTCAAAAAATTGCTAATGAAAATATACTTGCTATGTAAACTTATTTATCTCTTTTGATATATATGAAAAAAAAAATATATATTTAGAATGAATCATAAATATGATATTGATTGGCTTGCTGCATGGATGGCTTGTCAACGTTTGGGTATGTTAAAGGTAAATTAAAATTTATTTTAGATAATTTATTTTTTATTATTTATTTTGAGGGTTCAAAAATTGTTGGTAAACAATCTCTTAAATTTGTACCAATACTTGGTTGGTCTTGGATTTGTACAGAAACAATATTTGTACGACGTGTATGGGAAAGTGATCGTGAAACACTTGTTAAAGATCTACGAAAAACACTTGCTAATTATCCAAAAAATCATTATTTTAATGTAAAATTAGAAAAAAAAAAACTAATAATAATATTTTATTCTATTTTGTAAATTTAGCTTATGCTTTCATGTGAAGGTACTCGATTTACTGAAAAAAAACGATTAGCAAGTATGAAAATTGCACGAGAAAAAGGTTTACCAGAACTTAAACATCATCTTCTACCACGTACAAAAGGTTTTACATTATTAATACAAGGAGCAGAAAATCGAAGTAAGTTTTTTATAAGAATTTTGAATTCAGATATGAGATAGAATGTTTATTTTTAGAACAAATGAAGAAGTTAATCATTTTTCATTTTTTTTTCAGAATTATAAATTAAAAAAAAAAAAATTTCTGTTATCTTAATCCATTCGTGGCGGGTGTCCCATTTTCAGTATATGCTCCGTATGAATATGCTTCCAACTGCAATTTGATAACAGTATCTCAGGAGGATGTGGGTGTGTGTCTTTATTACTACATCCACACCCATTTCTTATTAAAAAAAAACCCCGCCGCGAATGGATTAAAGTAATCTATCTAGAAGCATAATCAATGGAATAAGAATAGATATTGAAAATTTAATTTAATTTTTTTTTAAAAGTAGAAAAAAATTGTTGTGAAATTCTCTTCATCACTATTATTTTGATATTAATTGTATAATTAAACGTAAAAAATTTTGAAAATTATCTTTATTTTTTTTTCTTTATTCAGTTCAATCAGTATATGACATAACACTTGGTTTTAAAAAGACTGAAGCCGAACCAACACTTCTTAGTATATTAAAAGGACATTCTTGTCAAGCAGAACTATTTATTAGGTGAATTTCATTTCTTATTATTTCAACATTATTCATAGTTTTTTTTTTATTTTTTATTTAGACGTTTTCCAATATCTGATATACCAACTGATACTGAAGGATCTAGTAATTGGATTCATGAATTATATCGTCAAAAAGATAAAATATATGATTATTTTGTTCAACATGGTACTTTTGAAGGAAATGGTTTACCTCGAACTGAAATTTCATATAATTATTATGATTTATTAATTGAACTTGGATGGATGATTATTATTGGTATACCATCAATTATTTATTTGTTTCAATTTCTTTCAACAAGTTCATTATTTGCTCAAATAATATTTGTTATTATTATATGTATTGGTAAGAATTGTTCTTTCTTTTTTTAATTAAGTTCATAATTGAATTTTTTCGTTTTTAGGAACTATTGGTGCACGAACAATGATTGCCGTAACAGAAACTGAACGAGGTTCTCATTATGGTGAAACAAGCAAAGAGGATTAATTTTATATATATTTTATAACATTATTCGTTTTTTTTTTTTTTTTATTATCGTTCGATGTGATATTTCATAATAAAATTGAATAGGTGGCCGTTTAAAAATAACTATTGCTTCTTGCTTTGTTAGTTTTTTGTTTTTTTTGAAGAATATAGTTAAATTTTCTACGATTGTTATTCAATCATACTATATACAATATCAAGTTTTAAATTTTGTGTTTTTTTTTTGTATAATTATATTGAAGGTATTTATTTATTGGTTCCGTTCAAACTTAAACATAACTAGTCTTTCAATTTTTTCGGGGGATAAAAAAAATCATAAGTATTTTTATATATAGTAAACCAAAAAAAAACTTATGACCTAAATGTTTTTCGAATTTTCATCGAAATAAATATTTTTGTTTCAAAAAAAACTGTGCACATCTATAATCATCATAATATAGGTATTGCTCGTCATTTTTAGTTAATAGAGAATAGTCGTCTAACTGTTAATAAAATTATTCATTTATACTACTGGAACGAAAATGATTCCTAAATTTTTTTGACTAACAATTTGAACGAAATTGTTGTCCGAGTATTTTATAATAAATAGCTTGTATCAATAATATTCAACACTGTATCTATAGCCTATATAGATATATTGATAAATAACTGCTCGATATGATATACTCAAATATTAGTGAGTTTAAACGACAAGTTCAAAATGTAGGAACTATTTTCATTCTACTAACGCTAATCAATAATGCCATCAATGGTTTGATTATCTACTTTGTTCATTTTTTTTGGTCTACTCTTTCATGTACATCATTGACGTTATTCCTTTATGCTGTTTGTGATCTAATCTTTTTCTCGTACAGTACTTTGATACACAATATTTATTATTGTTTCTTTTTGCTCTTTTTATTTCGTGTAGATAAGAAAGAAAAGTAAAATGGCTTGTTCTCTATCTGTGTATCTAATGAGGATCTAAATTTGTTTGTTCGAATATTATATTGTTATATTTATTGATCGTATGACTAATAAATAATTTTAAAAATTGGTTTTGAAGAGTGTAGCTAAAAAAAACTTAAACGAGTAAATTTTTTTCTTGGAAATTATAAGAATCCATTGTGAAGAAAGCAAAGAAGTGTGTACATACAATATGAAAGACATTAATGGTTGAATGCCTGAAAAAATAAATATTCGGATAACTTCATTGATAAAAATATGCTCTGCTATATCATTGAAGAAAATGATATGAACTAGTCGAGTTTTCATATGTTCCACGTTTCGACATGTAACTAAATCTTTCATTTCTTTTTAAGTATTCCTCTAGATACATTAAGGTTCTTCAAGTGTTGTGTACAATTCTGCATTTATCATTAGACAACTGCATAATCTTGAATATTATTTTGCTAAGAAAATAACTTGCTTAGAATGCATCCGTTCACCATTGCTGATAGAAGGCAAAATATGGTCTCATTAGAAATGCGAACATATTAACAAAGCATCACAAGATTGGTGTATGCGTTCCAAATTTCGGCCACATTAGGGACTGTATTGAGAAGCTTTTTTGAACTAAGTTTTTGCTCAAAGGGAGATTTTTCTGTATATTCATAATATGTATTTAATTATCAATGTCATGTAAGATTCTGTATGTATGATAGACAGATGACGGTTACTAAAAGAAAACATGTGTATAGATACGAGTGAATTGTGACACGAAATAAAGATGCATTCATCATCGAGAATTATACGATAGCCAATATGTCATTTTCAGCTCTTATGGAATTGAACAGAAACAGTTTTCCATCATAGCGCATTGTCCTATAGCTTTCTAATACATAGCTAGTAAACATTTGAAACCAACTGTTAAACAAAATTCTGTAATCATTTCTTGCGAATAATATTTTTCATCGAATAGTGATACGTATTGATACATCATAGCATTGTATTCTGCTTGCTACTGATGATCAATAGAGAATCTAGGATTTTTATGATCAGAATTGATTCGATTGGGATAGATGGAGTCATCTTGTTAACGAAATTGTGACACAATAAAAGTTTGAACATTATCTCGTAAGGATTCAGAGTGTTGTTAAAGATAATGAATATGTGCTTTCTGGTAACATTGAAACTCAGAACATCTAAAATCTGTTGAACTTTAATCATTTTTTTTTACAATTATGAGAAATAATTACATATTTCTTATGTTCTCTTTCCTTTCTATTTGCATCGTTTTCTTTGCATATTTTAAATCAGCTGTACTCGAAGTACAACAAGATTTTCAAACGCATACAGACACTGATATTGAATACAAAAAAAATTTCAGCATTCTTAATATTTCCGATCGATTAGAACGAAAAAACAAAGATTGCCTTATGTTTAGTCACATGTTCACACACCTGTTAATTATATGTAAACTAGTGTAACAACGAAGAGAAAAAAATTTTACGCCACACCAATATATAAAGTGAAGAAGAAGTAATATTTTGTCAGTTCTTAGCAATCATAATATTGTGCATTTCCTTTGAAATTTATAGCAACAATTGGTCAGCGAAAAATACAATCTTTTATACTGTATAGATTGTAGTCTTGTTAATATTGCTGTCACCGTACTCGAATCGCTATTCTTTTCATATATTGACCAACACTGATGCTTTACCTCTAGATAAAAATTAATTACAAAGTTAAAAGAATGTTTTGATTGAAGTCAATAGTTGATAACTGATTCTCACAGTTTCACGAAAATATTTGTGAAATAGAATTAATTTCTAGTCTAACGAGGGAACCTTTTCAACTGT